CCTGCGTCGTCAGCCTCTCAGGCAACCAAGCCGTGCGCCTGCCCCTGATGGAGTGCGTCCAGGTGGTGAGTAGGGGGGGACGGGACCTCCAGGAGCAACCCACCCCGGGGCTCCCCGCGGACGGGATGCGATGCAAAGCGCGATGCAAACCCATCCAACGTAAAGCAAACCCAGCCGGTGCGATGCGAAGTCATGCAGTGTGATGCAAGCCCAGCTGGGTGTGATGCAAATCCATACGGCGCGATGCAAACCCATTCAATGCAATGCAAAGGCAACCACTGCAGTGCAAACCCAGTCGGTGTGATGCAAAGCCATGCAGCACGATGCAAATGCATCCTACGGGATGCAAACCTGGCCAGCGCGATGCAAAGCCATGCAGCATGATGCAAACACATCCAATGTGAACCAAACCCGGTCGGTGTAAACCAAACCCGGCCGATGTGATGCAAAGCCATGCAGCACGTTGCAAACGCATCCAAAATGAAGCAAACCCAGCCGGTGCGATGCAAAGTCATGCAGCATGATGCAAGCCCAGCCGGTGCGATGCAAATCCATCCAAAGCGATGCAAACCCAGCCAGCACGATGTAAACCCGTCCAATGTGAAGCAAACCCGGCTGGTGGGATGCAAAGCCATCCAACGCGATGCAAACGCATCCAATGTGAACCAAACCTGGCCGGTGTAAACCAAACCCAGCCGGTGCGATCCAAAGCCATGCAGCACGATGCAAACGCATCCTATGGGATGCAAACCCGGCCGGTGTGATGCAAAGCCACGCAGCACGATGCAAACACACCCAAAGTGAAGCAAACCCAACTGGTGTGATGCAAAGCCATGCAGCATGACGTAAACGCATCCAAAGTGAAGCAAGCCCAACTGGTGCGATGCAAACCCACGCAATGCGATGCAAACCCACGCAGCATGACGCGAGCACATTCAACGTGCAGCGAACCCACCCAACGCGATGCAAACCCGCTCGGTGCAACGCGAACACGGCCGTCGCGGTGCAAACCCCCCCCCCCCCATCTTTGCTCCACACAGACCAAAGACGTGACGACGGCGATGAACGAGGGGCGCTTCGATGACGCCCTGAAACTGCGAGGCCGGTGAGCGTCCGCACCCCATTCCCAGCAGGAACCGAGGGCTCCGGCCACCCCCCGGGGCTCCCACACCCGCCTTCCCCCCCTCCTTT